GCTCTGGCAAAAAAATGCCAAAAGCTCCTAAACTCGAGTTTAGGAGCTGCTCGTGTACATGAAGCCTAGAGATAGTAAGACACGGTCAGTTTTGTTCTGGTTTGTTTACTGCTGTGAGCTGAATGGAAAAGAAAACTGACCGCCATACTAAAGCCTTGTGCACACAATGAGAATATCAGATGAATGATTGTTTTTTTTTTTCTGCAAGCTAGTCTCATATAAAAAAAACAATGAATAGGTTATTAGAGTTATGAAATTTTCGTAAGACATAATACAACTTCGGAAGTGGCGTAATGTATTCTTTTGTTTCTGAGCATGCGCGGTCTTGGTCACTGGATCTTTTTACAGATGATTACTATACTGCTTAAACGAAAATCGTCCGTCCTGTTATCTTTTGAGAAAAAGTTTTGTGCTTTTCCCTTTGGATAATTTAGTGTGATTTGTCATCGTACAGGTGCTCTGAAAACATATTTTTTTGTCTGATGTTCTCATCATGTGCTAGGCATTACACAGGCAATGGTAGTATAGTGATCTCCCCCCAGAACACACTGAGCAGCCATTGGCTGCAAGCGATGATTGGATGCTGGTTTTCCAGCAACCCCATTTGACAGAAGCTGGTTGTTAGACCGGCTTCTGAGGGACTGAGAGCTGTATGCACTGGCCTGAAAGCTGGCCAACTCCTGCCGAATCAACCTCGTTTGGCCTGTGTATACCCAGCCTTACTCTGACATGTTCCTAAAACCCTGCAGTCAGCAGTGGCATCTCCTCCTAAAATACATCTAAAAGGTAAGGCATATTTAAAAAAAAATAAATAGTAAGTGGAATGCTATGTGAACAGGAACCTATAACGAACACTTGGTTGCAAAAGTAGAAACATTATGTGGAGGGTGCACTTTCTGGACTTGTTTGTTTAGTAACTGGATGCAGTTGTCTGCAGATCTGTGCCAGCAAGTATCAGGCTGGCTTTGGACTTCAACCTTTGGAGTGGAGTGTAATCCCACAATAAGCAACTTTGTGATGAACTGAGAAACCTAGAAGTGTGCTGAGTGGCAGGTTTAAATCCTGTAGCCTTCCTTTGGAAGCTCCTCATTGGCATTTATGAAGGTTGTCTGGTAGAGTGTGCAGGACAGGTCATCAGTCATTGCTGACAGTAGATGTTTAAACATTTACCTTCCCATTTGTGCTTTATTGCCTTGGATTGCTCACTAGTTCCAAATGCTACAGGAAGCTGATAGATAAATCTGTTTAGGAGGCAGCATGTAATATTTTTTTATGAGGTGACAAGTAATAAGAGCCAGCATCCCCATGCACATATTTTTTTTTCAACAAGTCTTTAGCTGTATAACAAAAGCGAGTTGATAAAGGTTAGTGAGCAAACTTCAGCAATAATAAACACTAGGTTTAATGGGAACAGGCGCTGTGCCAGGCAAGACTTTGAAAGAGCTATTTTGCTGAATGTCGGTATTCATCTGAAAACACCTTTCATCTTTGTAGGACTAGTCACCACAAGCCGTAACCTTTGTTGGGTATTGCTAGGGCTCATGCCTTTATGGATCTAGGGGAGGGGCTTAGCTGTTATGATGATGGAGTGTTTTCTTAAATAGAATACACCATTCCTCAGTCCTGCTTGTTTCCTTTTTCACTTTTGTTGAGCAATGCTTTGTCTTTGTGATTGGTGATTATACTACTGCAATCAATGGGCCATAACTGTATGGGCACTAGAAGAGTAGGATGGTAAAAGCAGGGCATACTTTTACATATAGGTATGACCTACCCAGCCAATAGTTGTGCTGTTTGGGTAGCATAGAAGTTGTGCTGGCCAAATGGATCCCAAGTTTCACAGGTGATTTGATAGACGGATGATATGGAAAATGTGTGCAGCACATCCAAGCCTTGCCAGCTACACAAAAAAGTGACCATATTGCAGTGATTCCCAAATGCCAGCAGTGTATTGCATGGTGCAAGTATTTACTTGGCAGTAAATGGGGGACTATCCATGTATACCTATACAATCTGTAAGTAATATAACCTAAACTGTGCTTGGATTCATCTGCCTTCTGCGACAAAAATTAACACTTACCTGATCGTTTTTAACCCTTTTTCATGCACCTGTCTGTCAGCATTTTGCTTTGTCTTCAGCAGTTGATGCCTGTCGGGGCTCTGTTGCATTGCTTAATGCTGTCAATCAATGAGAATGCATTTTGAGAACTATCAAGAAGGAGTAAAAGGATGCATTAAACAGTGATCGATATATGTAGACTGGAAAGGTTTCAATGTTCCAGCTTGGACCAATGTAACTACATATATACCATATCTGCAACAGGAAGAAGGGTCAGCCGCACACCGAAGGGTTGATGAATACAGTGTATATTTATTGATCCATAGGACACACAAAAACTACAGGACCTGTTAACGCGTTTCATACGATCTTGCTTTTGGCTGTGATTAACAGGTCCTGTATTCATGTCCTGGTGTTTTGTGTGTCCTATGGATCAATAAATATACACTGTATTTATCAATCCTTCGGTGTGCAGCTGACCCTTCTTCTTGTTGCATCGCGTGTGGTGGCGGGCCAGAGCCTTCACCTGTCGTGGATTGTTTGCCTGAACGGTATACCTCTGTTCTTTGGATTTATACCATATCTGACTGATGCTCCTGGAAGCTGGAAATCAATTAAGTGGACACTACTACTACAGCAATTACCAGTAGCTTCCGGGTCCCATGCTGAGCAGCCTGCCTGATGCATTGTAAACACAAGAGGTTGTCCCTTTTCATCAGTCTCCACCTCCTTCAATCAGGGAACAATTTGCATTCATTCAGAAAACGAACAACATTCTTGGCTTTGTGCCTGTGCTGAGCAACTGACCTCCTGTGTTCAGAATGCCGCAGGCCAGGACCCAGAAGCAAGTGAAGATCACTGGTGTAGCAGCATCTATTTCAGTGCTTTTCCAGCTTCCCAGGGCCTCATCAAATATGGTTCCACTGGACCAGCATAACTACGTGTAAAATATCCATAACTGGAATCGATCTTTAAGCCTGGATATTCAGTGTGCTCCTTTAAGCCCTGTTTTGACTAGTCCTCTTTTATTCCTTAAAATGTTATTTGATGTCAGAACAAGCAGTAATAGGGATGTTCCTCATAACTCTACACAGGCGTTTTAACAATCATGGAAAACATTAGTCAGGGTTTTTTGGTGATAGCCACAATACAGAGGAAGGCCCGGTAATGCCGTGCCTGGATTAATAGGTTAACGAGAGAGCGCTTACTGAGGTCTCCCAGCCCTGGGGTTGCTTATTGAGCAATGCCACCCTGATGTTGTAATGGTGCCAGCAAGCAGTGCTCTGGGGGATTAAATGCTTTCTTTAATTGGTCCAATTAGTTCAAGGTTTCTTTTGAGCATCAGTCATTCTGCCCTGGCTTAATAGCGAGCCATTAGACTATGAATGAAGCTCACATGCTTTATTAGAGAACACAGATGGGAGTGATTGATTTTGCAGCAGTGGAGATGAGACTGTCCGTAAGAGCTGTGAGAAGAGAAGATAAAAGTGAAATGTTTTAGCTTATAGGAAATTCTCTAAAACGTGAACATAAAAGTACTGTTCTTTTTTCCCCCTCACATCATGTACGTTAATAGGCATTCTCCTTCTCTAACTAGCCTTGTTTTACATGTTAAATATGCAGTACCCAGGATTATTTTATTTTTACGATGGCTTTAGCAGGCGGGAGCTGATCAGTCACCCATATAACTGGATCTTAACCACTTCAGTACCATCCTGTATATACCCCTTCATCACCAGGACATTTTCAGTTTTCAGAGACACAGCTCTGTTTTGGTGATATTTAATAGCTACTGTTTCTTATATGTTGTTGTTTGTAAATGTGGGGGAAAGACCAAAAAATGTAAAACATTTCTCTTCCTTCCTGCTATAAAACATATCCAATAGAACGAATTCCCCCCTTTAAAAGCAGACTTTCCAAGATGAGCATTTTTGTTGTGGTTTTTTTTTTTTTTTTTTTTCAACAATTTTGTGTAAATGTAACATGCTGGTATTGAGATGATTAAATCCCAGAGCTTGGTAGTGGTGCACTATGGAGGAAATGGCGAAGGGGTTAATCAAATTTTTCCAATCTGTTGCCTCCTATCCTTCATTGATTAAGGCCCTGATCACATCTAGCAATGGCAGAGTGGTTTTAGCACTTTGTTTTTCCACTGTGTTTCTGGATCCGCATCATTCAATTGAATCGACTTCTCTATGCAACATTGCACCAAAGTCTGCCAATAACAAAAAGGTACAGAAGTGCCTTTGGTAAGTTTTTGGAGCAAAGTGTAGTTTTGTCCCACAACACAACGCCCATTTCTTTTGCTTGTTTGGTGTGCCATTGACTATAATGACACCCAAACACCTGTTGCATGTTTTGCAGCGATTTTACTGCGTTCTATAATCTTACAATTGTGCCGGCGATTCTAGAACACCCAGATGTGATGAAAAAAAAAAAATTACATGTTCACTAAAACATGAAGTTAGGCTTTAATGTTAATGGCATTCAGAAGATATGACTGGAGTAATGTAGAACATGCAGAGAGACTGGGTCAAGGAAATACTTATCTGTTAGATCTGGTTGGTCTGTTAAATGGCTGATTACAGCAGCTTGATTATGTTGCCCCAAATCACCCCACAACATGATCTGTTCTGTTACTCATTCAGTGGAATACATGGAATACATTTATTCTTTACATGAAGATGATGCACTTAATAGAACCTGACTGCATTATTATTCTCCCCTTTTCCTTTTCCTTTTGGAGATTACTGGCCCCCTAGAAGCACATGCATGTTGCTAGAATTTTTAAATTTTTTTTTTAATACATTGAGCATTCAGTTGAGATATTGTTTCACAAATGTCATAACATCTCTGGTTGGCCTGTATTTGATTTGGTAGTATATACAATGAAATGCCTAAACTTTTCCTACACTAAAAATCTATATTTTCTTCCTTTCCAGGCCTGGATGCTGAACTTTATTATGTCCGGAACGATATCATAAATCACTATGCTTTATCTTTTAATCTGCTCATTCCAACTGAGACGAGCAAGCTCCATTTTAGCTGGCACTCTAAATCTAAGGTATGTGAACTTTATTAAATGCTACATTTGTAAATTTTTTTTATATTTCAGTATTTTTAAAAGGCGCTCGCTCTTGCGCGCACATACACACACTATAAGCGACCAAAATCCTATGCAGTTTCAACTATTTCTGGAAAAGTCCATGTTGATTCACATTTCCCTGTTCCTGAGCCCTCCTATTGGCCAGTGAGATTTCCATCAAGACTAGCAAGGAAGCATAGAACAAGAGCAGATAGTGGCAATTGTGCGGGGGTTTGTTTTTTTTCTGTTCTTTCTTTCTTTCTAAATTTAACGCTCCAGATTTGCATATTGCATTACTCAAAGTTTGAATGTGTTTTTAACATTATTTGCTTGGTTTCAGTTGCCAGATTGTGAGAGATTTAAAGTGGAACTTAAAATTAAAGAATTAAAATTGGCGCTTAGGCAAGAATTTTAATGCAGAATAGACATACTGTGTTTCTTCTGCCTTAAAGCTACTTATCTGCTTGTCCACCCCTTGTACAGTAAGACGGGCACGCACAGCTCACTGTAAAAATTGGGCAATGCTGAATCTGACTGAACTCCCATGCATGCGCGGGGCTGATTTCATCCCAACCAATAACAGACGGTGATAGAGACCCAGAAGCTGGCCATCTGATAGTGTTGGCTGCTGGGCGGGGATCCGCATTGCTGGAGCTAAGATGAGTATTGTTCCACTTTAACTTTAAAACAGTTGTAAAGGTGTTTTTTTTTTTTTACTAAAATAACAAACATGTTAAACTTACCTTCTGTGTAGTGGTATTGCACAGAGCAGCCCTGAATTGCCTCTTCCTCTGGTGATTCATTCTGGCTTCTCTTGCAAACAGGAGGCTAAGCCCAATTAATGTAATTGGCTGCATGTTTCCTCCACCCAGGTGCTGCGTACAGCATCTCATTGACATGAATAGCTGTGCTTTGCTGTACTTGTATATATGTCATAAATAGAAATGTCATACTACTACCTGGCCGTAACATCCACAACCTGAACCCTGCCCCCCCTCCACTCTACAGCTGATCAACTTTACGACAGCATCCTTCACCTGTCCTGCCCCGACCTGGCCATGACCACCTATAACAACTTTCTGTCAACCGCCCTTGACTCGCTAGCGCCTTTAACCACACGAAACATCAGACCCCGACCGCTCCAGCCCTGGCAGACTGATCACACCAAAACTCTCAAACAACGCAGTCGTGTGCTGGAGCGACAATGGCGCAAAACCAGATCTCAACTAGCATCCACCCACAATAAATCTGCCTTCAACACCTACACCTCCTCCCTCCACGCTGCCAAACAAGCCTACTTCCTGACCCTCATCAAGACCCTCTTCTCCAATCCTCGCCGACTCTTCTCCACCTTCAACTCTCTACTCTCTACATTGATGCAATTCGCAGGGGCATCACCGCTGCTCAAACTTCCTCCCCTCCCATCCCCTCTCCCTCGGCCTCACCACTGTTCAGACCTCCACCTCACCTAACATTCCTCACACTGAAGCCCCCTTAACCTCCCTGACGGTATTCCGGAGTGTAGCTCGGGGTAAAGCTTCAGTACCAAAAGCGGTAACTTCGAGCTACACTCGGGCTTACCATGCGGCGTTGCACAGGGATTCCCTACAGCGCTTACCTTGTCCTTCGCTCCCACGATGCGTCCCCTGCAGCGTCCCCGGCCATCTCCTCTGGCCGATAACGGCCTCTGGCTTCCGTGTTCCGGTCCCTGTGACGTCGTGAACCGGCGGCAAATTTGAAAATTTTAAAAAAAAATGAAATTTTTTTTAAAACTATTTATTTCATAGCAAAACATTCCTGTATCAAAGCATTTCACATACATTTTGTCCCCACTGCTTTGTCCTGTGCCCTGCCTGCATTTTGACTGTTCTTTCTGCCTGGAAACTTAGAAAAGTCCACGGCGTCCAAAAAGCATCCCTTTAGGTCAAAATCGGTTTTAGACCAGCTAGAGAACAGCGATTGTAAATCAGAACCATTTGCAGAATTGAGTGATAATGATTGGTGGGGAAATTCATCATCAGACACTGAAAACGATTTTGCGACTTTGCTCAGTGATGTGCGAACTTGGCGCTATATTTCAAATTTCAGTGTTTTTGCTTTGATTATATTATTGAATTAAATTTATTATTATTATATTATTATTTTTATGAGTATTTATTAAATAATTACTAAGAATTGCAGGCTTACAATACATAACACCAAATTTCCATGCAAAAAAATGGTACCGCTTTTGGTACAAAATTGCTGACATAATCATACCGCCAGGGAGGTTAACCCTCCACACCTTCGACCTTACTACCATTGAGGAGGTCACCAAAGTCTTCTCTAAAACCCGCCCCACCACCTGCCCCCTCGACCCTGTCCCCTCACAACTCTTACAACCTCCCTCCTCCTCCATCCTACGCTCCCTCACCCACATCTTTAATCTCTTCCGGCACATTCCCCTCCCCTCTGAAGCACGCGCACATCACCCCCTTACTTAAAAAGCCCTCCCTGGACCCCACTGACCCAAACAACCTTAGACCCATCTCCCTGCTGCCATTCGCATCCAAACTCCTCGAGCGCTTAGTCTACAATCGTCTAAGCTCCCACCTCAACAACCTCCTCGATGCCCTACAGTCCAGCTTCCGTCCCCTACACTCCACTGAAACCGCCTTACTGAAACTCTCCAACGACCTGCTAACCGCCAAAGCTAATGGACACTATTCAGTGCTCCTACTCCTTGACCTCTCCGTGGCTTTCGACAGTCGACCACCTCCTCCTCCTCAAAAAACTACACCCCCCTGGCCTCAGAGACTCCGCTTTCTCTTGGCTCTCGTCCTACCTATCACAACGCTCCTTGAGCGTTACCTATAACGCTACCACCTCCCCCTCACTCCCCCTCTCTGTTGGTGTCCCTCAAGGCTCTGTCCTTGGGCCCCTTCTCTTCTCCATCTGCACCTCCTCCCTTGGCCAACTCATACACTCTCTCACGGCTTCAACTACCACCTCTATGCTGACGACATGCAAATCTATCTCTCGACCCCTCACCTCACCCCCTCAGTCTCTGCCCGAATCACAAGCCTACTGAACGACATATCAGATTGGATGTCGCTCCACTTCCTTAAACTGAACCTCTCCAAAACTGAGCTCGTAGTCTTCCCCCCAGCCCGCACATCACCCCCCACTGACTTCTCCATCACGTCCAACAATGCCACCATCAGGCCTGCCCCACAGGCCAGAGTACTTGGTGTCATTCTTTACTCCAATCTATCCTTCCAGCCCCAAGTCCAATCACTAAAAAACTCATGCAGACTCCACCTCCGCAACATCGCCAAAATCCGCACGTTCCTAACCCCAGAAACCATTAAGCAGCTCATCCACTCCCTCATCATATCACGACTCGATTACTGTAACTCCCTCCTCACTGTCCTGCCTCGCCACAGGCTCTCCCCGTTTCGTTTGATCCTGAATACGGCAGCCAGACTCATCCACCTTACCAACCTCTCCGTTTCCGCCACCCCCCTCTGCCAATCCCTCCACTGGCTTCCGATTGCCCAACGGATCAAATTCAAAATCCTAACACTGACGTACAAAGCTGTCCACCATACTGCCCCAAACTACATCACCGACCTAATATCCAAGTACCACCCTACATGCACTCTCCGCTCCTCACAAGACCTCCTTCTCTCTAGTTCCCTAGTCTCCTCCTCCCATGCCCACCTCCAGGACTTCTCCAGGGCGTCACCCATACTCTGGAACTCCCTACCCCAATCCATCAGACTATCCCCTACTCTCCTCTAGGTGCACCTCTTCAGGGAAGCCTACCCCACCCCCTGCTAATTTCCGATCTCCTCCACTCTTCTTACCACTCCATCCCACACAGCTATTTCCTCCTATACCACTATCCCCTCCCTCCTAGATTGTAAGCTCCAAGGAGCAGGGCCCTCAATCCCCTCATGTATCATATTGTTATTGTACTGTTCTGTCTCCCATTGTAAAGTACTGCGCTGAGCGAACTGTTGGCGCTTTATAAATACTGTATAATAATATATGGTGATGCAAACACAAGTGCAGCTTACATGCATCTGCAAAAAATAGAAATAATGAAGTCACCTTAGCATGGAGTGAACATCCTCAGCCCTGTGTAAACTTTATTAGAGCAACTGGAAGCAGCTGAGTGTGTGTGTGTGTGTGTGTGTGGGGGGGGGGGGGGGGGGGGGGGGCAAATCTAAGGTGGTGGGGGGGGGGGGGGGGGGTTAATTAAAGGAAAGTTTTGACCCTCAGTGCTCAGAGGTGACTAAACAAGTGTGCCTACAGAGACAACATTCTATTTATAGTTTCCTGCCCATTAATTTCTTTTGTATTTTAAGGTGATTTTGGTGTTTCTCCTAACACACTTCTTCCCTGACAGGTGGAATACAAATTGGGGTTTCATGTAGACAATCCCATAGCCATGGACACACCCACAGACCAATATCTCAATGCAAGGGGATGTCCCGCGCTCTTTATCAGGTGAGTGGCTGTTGCGAACATTATTCGCATCAAAATTAATTTTTATATATATTTTATATTTTTTTTTAACAGCGTTACAGAGAGCATGACTGCTTTGAGCTTAGCCTTTTCCATGAGCGCCATCTGGTGATAACTATAATTATTTTCCTTCTGGAAAGGCATTCTTGTCATGTTGCATAGAGATTATCAAAACAGTGCTTACCTCTTGATGTAAACACACAAAGTTTATGAACTCTGCTTGGCAATAGTTGCTTGTTTTGTATCTAGGCAATCCAACTAGTATAATTCCAGTGCAGATCTAGAGATTTAAAAGCCTTTTCTGTGAAGGGAAGATTTGTTTTATGTGACCGACATTGTTACCATTGTTGTCACTTATTATTCCATTATAGCACTAAACCAGAAAAATGTTGATTCAGCAGGCACTTCCTCTGTCTGCTGTAATTCCTGTCACCCTTTAAAAGCATGAGTTGGAACAGACTTGGCATGTTTGAGGGTGTCTTAGGCTACTTTTACACTGATCTGCAGCAAAAATGCATATGCGTTTTTGCTGTGTTTGTGATGCGATTGCCAAGGCTCCTCTGTATACTGCGGTCCTAACTCTATATTTGAGTCTCCAAGTTGGAGCACTTAGAGTGTAGATAAATTAAGGGCAGATTTGCCTGAAGGCAGCCCAATTCTCAAAGAAACAGGGACACCCAGCAAGAGCACAGTGGCAGATGAAGGCATCCGATGAGTCCCCACATCTAACCCAGTAAACAAAAAGATGGCACACACTCCAATTTATAACTAGCCTTTGCAGCAAAGTGCACATGGAAGGGCAACGCACAACACAAACAATCAAAAAATTGTCCTGCACACTTACCAGCTAGCCTTCATGAAAACCTAATTTGACCCTATCTAACAATTCATGTTAAAACAAGCTAGCTGGGAAGTGTGCTAGGAAATTTTTTTTTATATATTTTTAACTGATGTGCATTGCCCTTCTATATTCCCACGTAGGTAGTCTGTTCAAATAAGTGACAGGTGGAAGACTGCACAAACCTCCATGTGCGTCCTGGAATGTACATCTGCGTGGGTCTGATGCACAGAAACACTCTACAAACAAATGCTATTGCTAATTTGTACCCATTTAAAAAAATTAGCGCTGAAATATGTAATGTGTAAAATAAAAAAACCGTTTTTAAAAAAATAGAAAATTGCATTTTTATAAGCGTAAAGGACTTATGAATGTTAGTTGTATTCATGCTGGCAGACATTTCAGTTTGTGAAGGGCCTGACTGCACTAACCTTCATTTAACTTGCAGACATAAAATCTGGTGTGTGTGTAGAGAAAAAAAAATCAAAACATTTTAGTCTGTCCTGAACCTGGCTTTCTGGGAACATTTGTTGACTTTTCTGTATATACTAGAATGTGTAAATTTGTCATTATCTGTGTTTTTTATTGGGTCTTCATTAACTAGCTTTTTTGTCTTATTTTGTGTGGCAGTGTTTAGAGTGGATCTTTTCTGCTCGGGGAAAATGGACACTGAAGTCCTGTTAGTCATGCAGCTCAACGTAACAATCAGTCCTGCCAAAAACATCACAGTCCTCAATTTTAAGAGGAGGAAAATGTGCTACAAGAGTAAGTGTTCCAGTATGCAAAGCTGAGGCAGATGACCTAAGCCCAGCGTTTTTTTATCTATTGGAAGAGATATGTGAAAAGGGTAGTATAAAGAATCATACCAAAAGCTGGCTGGTACATCACATTTTTATGGATTAATTTTCATTGTTTGTTGAGTAGAATTAAAAGCAAAACTTTTTTTTCCATTTTGGATATCGCAAGGGAGGGCTTTAATTGTCAGATTTTTTTTTTTTTTTTTTTTTTTTTAACATTTGTGTCCCATAGTTTTCCATTTTACTTCCTGTCCCATAGCCAAAGGGGAAGTGAGAGGAAATCCCTGTAAGTGAAGGGAATTTCTTGGGTACCCCCAGGTCATCAGAACTAGTGTCCCCGTTGGAAGACTTCCCCTCTATTACTTTTCTGGGGACAACACAAATTTTGGGGATTTTCTTTTACTTTCACTTTCAGTGAGGATGGTAACCAGGGCAAAAAGAGAGGGTGAATCTCTGTAACACGGACACAGGCAGCAATAAAAACTGATAAGCGTTCTAATCCCTCTGCATTCTATCCACTTAAAAAAAAAAAAAGCATTTTGCCTTTAGTTATACTTTTTAAGGTTGAAGGTAAGCAGCCTGTATTTCTCCAGCTGGAACTAGAAATCCCAGTATGCCATGCTGTTGTCAGTCTGCTGGGATTAGGAGAATCACTGAAAGAATTTTAGTTGACTGAATTTATAAATTACCCAGTTTCCTATAGAGTTGTTGCTAAGAAAGTTGACCCCCAACTGTCTGCATCTTCTTCCTTCAGGAGGAATTGGCAGGCGGTACCGTTAGACTTTAGTTCTACTTGGCGTGTCATCTGATTGTATTACACAAGCATGAATTTACTTTTCTGGCAGTTTTAGTGAAGTGAAAAATGTTTAAATCCGCTGGCAGGCAGTGTTTTTATAACAGAAGAGATCATAGAGGTCTCTTCTGTCATAGATTCCCCCCTGCTTGTTGGCGGTAATGTGTTCTGAGTGTGCACATGCATAGCTCAGACCACATTTACGGGCCGCTCTATGTGCTGCGTTAATGTGACTCTTGTGCTCATGCGTGTGACGTCACAGCGGCCTGGCCATTCAGTCAGCCAAAGGCACGAAACCTGGAAGGAAGACCGGTGAAGATTGAAGCACCAAGGGAGCCATGACCGTGTGCTGCACTGGGGGGGGCTCCTTTTCAGGTAAGTCTGTCGTATAGTAAAATGTGATTCATAATAGCACATTTTTCTAACTTTTATTTCTGGCAACTTTAATACCACTTTAAGTCCTTTTATTGTACTTTTAAAATGTTTGGTGAAAATACTTCAGAGAATGGTGATTACTTTTATTCTGAAAGTAGTGGGCTGATTCTGTTTCTTCTTTCCACAGAGGTCGAACCAGAGCTCAAACCCCCATTGTCTCCTGACAGGAACAGCACAAGAATTCACTGTAAGAGTTATATATTCTTATTGCTTTATTGCTGAAAATGGGGGAAGCTGTACATGTAGATAACGATTTTCATTTTTTTCCCTGAATTACCATGAAAAAATTTGTGTGGCATAGTGCGGGCCTGGATAAATCTTCCCAAAATCCCCACCCCCACTTTCTTCTCCTGGGCAGGTGGTCAAAGAAGTTTTTTCCCCTTTAGCCACTTCAACCTCTTCCCCCTACAGCTGTGTTTCTTCCACCATCCAGCCATGCAGGAAAGCCTCTCTACACATTACTTATTAATCTTCCCAGCTGGATCTCTTAATTCTCCTGTATGCACTTATCCTGTCTTATTATCTGATGCCAATTCAGCATCACCTGTACTTCAGGTAAACACGCTGGCAGCATTTAAATTAGGAGCCTTTAAAATATAATCTTCAACTTCTCCCATCCCTGTGCGCCTCATGGCATCCAACTGTATGAGAGTACTATCCTCCTGCAGTCACAAATTCGACATTGGCCACCTCGTGGCTCTCCTCAGCACTCTGCTCTGCGTTCCAAGATTTTTCAAATCCTGACATGCAGAATTGTTGTTTGAGGTAGAAAGAAATAGTTTTACATGGACAAATACCAGTCCACAGGGTAAAAGGGCTTTTATGAATTTTTTTGTGACCAAAAAAAGATTATGCAGCCATGCAATAGTTGAGGAGCATTTTAATGGGAAAATAAAACAAAAACAAATAATTTGCGGAAGGGGCACTAACCGATATTTTTATTCTCTAAAAATCATTTGTACACATACACTACTCAATGGCCCTGTTTTTCATTAAATCCTTAAATCATTTTTTATTGTCATCTACTGCTCCTTGTATTATCCTCCGTGATCTACCAAACCTCTCCTTTTCATCTCATGTGTACTTGTAACGAGCAGTGCACATTAGTTGAGGTCATGTGCATTGCACTGTGTACACTACAATTTGCATAGATCATCTTGTCCATCAAAGTGGCTATGTTCCTACATACAGTGAGACCATGGGGAATAAATGTAACCACCCTCTAACAGAAAGTCAGATCACAGCAGCAAAAAAAATGAAATTGAAGACATGGAGGAGGCTGAAAACAATTGAAGGTACTATTTTGGTTTGGAAAGCAGGATTTAGTGTTCCTCTAACCTCCTTTAAAACCTTTATGTAAAAAGGTTTGATTATGCGATCCACATTTCTGAGCTCATTACAAGTGTGTTCAAATTAAAATGGTTATAACATGGAAAATTACCTAAGACCTAGGGCTTATTAGTTCTTAAATATGATGGCTGCATTATTTTTCTTTCTTCATGCTTTTTCCCCTATATTTACCTGTACTCCTGAGAATAACAGACTGACTCTCCCATTTTGGTTGTGCTCAAACCTTGGCTGCATCTATGGCAGGAGCCAGGGTTTCACCCAGGCTGGACTCCAAACATGTCTGCCTTTGTTCTCCATTACATGGGGGATGGGACAAGTAGTAGTTTACAGAAGCAAGATGACATTGGGTTTGATTTACTAAAACTGGAGAATGTAAAATCTGTTGCAACTGGGCATGGCAGCCAGTCAGCTTCTAACTTCAGCTTGTCCAGTTAAGCTTTGACAAAAAAATTAGGAAGCTGATTGGTTTCTATGCAGTGCTGCACCACATTTTGCACTCTTTAAGTTTTAGTACATCGGCTCCATTGTTTTATACTTTCTATTCAGCTTACAGAAAGTGACAATCATACTTAATTTCTAACAACGCTAACAGCTATTACTCTGTACTTGCTGAAAAGGTCTTGCCTCTAAAATGAAACCTGAGGTAGCCACCACTTATAAGGATCAGTAAGCTAAAATATTACATTTTTGTATTGGGGTTTTTGTGTGAAAGATATTATGATATTGTTGCATTTGCTTTTAAGTAGAACTATAGGCAAAACGTTCTGTTTTCATTTTGGATAGAGCAAGGGAGGGTTGTAACCCCTGTCAGATTTTTTTTTTTTTTTTCGCCATCTGTGTCCGATTGCTGAGATTTTCCTTCATTTCCTGTTCCATAGCCAAAACAGAAAGAGAGGGAAAATCTTACAATGGGGACATTTCCTCTCCATTACATTTCTGAGATCTACCCAAAATTAGGGATTTTGTTTTACGTTCACTGATAGTGGTAAAGGGGACAAAAAGAGAGGGTGATTCTCCTTAACGGGGCCACAGACCGCAAAAAACTGACACTCATTCCAAATCTCTCTCCACACTATCCAAATCTAAAAAAAAATTGCCTTTTAGATATACTTTAATTATAGGATTCCTTTAGGAGGTGAATCGTTGAACAGCAGTACTAATGCTAGAACGTTAAAGCCCACCTCTTGACACAGGAAAAAAAATTTATTTCAGTGGCCCTCCCCTCCCTCCCCTCCCATACTGCAAGGTAAAATGCTTGTTTCTGTCTAGGGTGGAGAAATAAGGTGTAATGCTTATGGACTTGCTCTGTCAAGCTGCCTCCATCTATACGACTGTTCCCCTGCAGCCTTTACTCTAGGGCGCTTTGTCCGGTGGTTACACACTTAACTCTGCACTTAATACAGTGCAGGAATAAAAGCCCTTTATTGTGCATGAGGATGGTGAGGAACCCAGAGCAGAGATGAGTGCTGGAGCCAGCCAGCGTGTGTGTATATATCTGACAAGCCAACTGCTGGATGTCTGATAGAAGCGGTCTAGTGGCATGGCAACCATCTGATCACATCTAAACAACCCCAGTAAATGTCACTTCCAGGTCCCAATGTCACTTTCCCCAGCTGGGGAAAAATCTAATTCATTGGTGCACAGGTGAGACCTCCATGGTCTTTTTAGAGAGAAATTTGTAGTTTACAAGATTAGACTTTGTTCTGACTTTTCTAATATATTACTATATATAGCAAGTTGAGTATTTCACTTTACTGCACCATCATTTCTTTTTTTCCTTTAGTTGATCCTGTTAATGTAGCTCCAACCACCTCAACCCGTGTATTCTACATCAGCGTTGGTGTCTGCTGTGCGGTCATTTTCTTAGTGGCCATTATACTGGCTGTGCTGCACCTTCACAGCATGAAGAGAGTAGAATTGGATGACAGGTAGGTGATTTCTACTAAAACAGCGAGCGTGAGTGAGGGCTTTAGAGCTTTTATCATGTCCTTATTGTCAGGTTGTGCTTACTGGCTACAATATGAATTGGTTTCTAATTTCCATACCTGCCTGGGTTGCTTGCTGTAACCTTTTACAAGAGTTGGTTGAATTGGGATTCTCTGGAAGTACATCTAAAATTATTGAAATTAAAGTGTTTTATTGTTGCGCATGTGCTGCAGGCCAGTAGCAGAATTCCATAGCACACATGTGCATGCAGCTTGGAGCACAATGGACCCTGGTATAGGGGTATAGGTTTTCCGATTTGGAATGGGCTTCTAATGTACCACAACACACAAAAATCCGACATGAACCTTTTAAGTTGGTTCTCATCAGGTGCTCCAAGATGGCTCATTGCTTTAACTTGATATGAAGTACACCTAAATGTTAGTGGTCCAAGTGGTTTTTATTTGTTTTGTTTTTTCTTAAAGCTGAACTACACTGCACCAGAACACCACAAACCCAAAACGCTATGTATGTTTTTAATAATCAGAGCAAACTCCCCCATCCATTCATGTCTCCATGCTTTATTTTGCTGAGAAATTAATTTGAAAAACACCCTCCTAGCATTTCTGGTCATGGCCATCTTGAGTAAGGGCAGGTGATTCATGTAGCATTTACTTCCTGGAATCCATCTGCCCTTAACACAGGCATGCAGGCAGGAGTGTGTGCTTAGCTGAAAAAACACCTCCGCCCCTCCTGAAGATTCCTAGGATGTATGACATAATTTGCATAGGTATGGAAACCAGGAAGTAACTGGGGAAATCAAGTAATAAGGTTTAAAACAGATACATTTGATATATTGTACTTCCCTATTTATTTACTAATAGCTGGATTAGGATTAAAAATAGTCAATGTTGATTATTGAGAGAGTGAAGTTCTGCTTTAAGTCCATGAATGCTTAACAGTGTAGTAAGCATCCTTCACTACTTAAAGGACAAGTACAGCCAAAGTTCTTTTAGCTGTACTTCTGTGAATCACAGGAGTGCAGTTCGTTCTGCACTCTTGTAACCCATTTTCAGCTGACAGTGGACTGAAGCTTTCTGTCATTTGATGTCATTCAGCCAGTCCAGGCTGGGGAAAGATACTGGCTTTAAAGTCAGGATCCACCTCAGAGTCTGGATTTACACCTGGCTGAGCCGCTTGCTGATCTGCTGAGAGCCTGAGCCAGCCGCTCCCTCCCCCTTCACAGCCCAGTGCTCCAGTGAGCTTGGGGGGAGCAGAGCATACAGCGGTGACTGACAATCCCCACTCTCTGCTCAGAGCGGCTGTGAGAACTCAGCGGTCATGTGAATGCAGATTCTCACCCTTAGAGCCAGTAGGGGAACAGATGCAGCATTGAACTGATTCTGCATCCACCTAGGTAAGTGTGATTTTTATAAAAAAAAAAAAAAAAAAAAAACAATCCCACCCTTTTAATATGCTGTGATGTGTGTGCAAAACTCTTACCCCATCCTTACCCACTGGCTCTGGGTCCCTCAGCGCAGCTTCACTGAACTTTCTTTTGAGTGAGCTTGTGCACTCAGCTCACAGCTACAGCAACAACTCGCGAGGAGTGGCTTGTGTGGGCTGTGCTCTTGAATGAATGCAAGTCTATTCATCACTGGCTGGGAACACGCATGTGAGAAGACGCTCTGAATTCTGATGTGATCACATTAGTAAATTTACACTACAGCAGGTAAAATTTAATTTTTAAAAAAATATCCTGCTGAACTCACACCTGAGCAATATGATGTGTAATTTATTTATTGCTGTGTGACAACATAGGTCTGCCCTATGCACAACAAACACACCAATGTAGCTCGAATACCCTTTTATGGGCACTGAACCAAGTGCATTTTGCTGCGTGACTGCTACCCCCATATGGAGTGCCATTTAGAAATAGTCACCGCAAGCGCAATCCACATGTTTCTTGTGCTTCTGAAAATGCTGGCAATTGTGCCTGTGTTTCCAGAACACTTGGGTGTGAATGCAGCCTTGGTATCACGTTAAGCTCTTCTGTAGGCTTGCAAAACTAGTGTATTGCATTATCGAGAGATTTGTGGTGGTGGTAGTCAGCTTTAAATATTAAATGCTTCCACAGTTCATATCCTATCAGCATTGAATTGAATGACTTTGTTTTTGTAATTGATTAATATATGTTATCTCGGACACACTGTGTCTAACCAATTGTGTTCTTTTACGTAGTATTGCTTTTTAGTCACAATGCTTCACATGACTATACTGTAACACAGTACTAAGACTCGGTTGTAAATTGCCTTTAGATTAGTATCCCTTTTTTTAGGGATTGATATAATGAAGCAAGGCAAAGAACAATGCTGTGCAGTAAACCATGTCAAGAATTCAGAAATTTGCTTTCATTAGCTGAGACAGTTGAAAGGCTTCTGTGGTTTATAGCATACCATCACTTTCTGGGTTAATATTATTCATATAGAGTTATGTGTCTGTAAAATCTAAGCATAGACTGTGAAATGAAGTCCATATATTCATATACCTGTTTTCGTCAGTTGGTGTAGTGCAAAAATGTGTATTGTACTTTTTTCTTTTTGCAGCGTAAGTGACAGCAGCAGCTCCCAGGGACTCTCTCAGCCTTCTACACAGACGACACAATACCTGCGAGCAGACACCCCTAACAACGCCACGCCTGTCACCAGTAAGAGTTCATTTAGCAATGTACTAGTATTATATTGTGGCGTTCTCACCGATCTTGCTTTTGTCCATATAATCCAGCATTGTTTTCAGGTACACCGAAAGGTCACAATCCAGTTTTTCTTTTGCACACAATGATAACGTTTAATATGCTCTGTTGAAATTGTCCTGTGAAAAATTTGACTGTAGAAACTTAAAATGGATATAAAAAGTCTACATAGCCCTGTTAAAATGTCATACACACCTAGTGCATTAGCCAAGGTTTATTGAAAGGAGTGAAAATTAAAAACATACTCACAGACGAAGCATGTATCTAAAAAGCATTGAAAAATGACAATGGACACAACGGCAGGCAAGGTGTTCCCACTGTCAGTACGGTCAAATGGCTGATGCGTTTCGGGGACGAATCCCTTTCCTCAGAGCTAATGACCAGCCTCTGATGCAGATGTGTAATGAATGGATAATGGAAGTCTTGCTGGTGATGCCATGGCAGTGGGAACACCTTGATGCCATCGTCATTTTTCAATGCTTTTTAGATACATGCTTCCTCTTGTGAGTATGTTATTATTTTTCACTCCTTTCAATAAACCTTGGATAATGCACTAGGTGTGTGCGCCACCTGTTTTCTCTCTATCCAGTGGCTGATCTCCCCGTCTGAGGAGGGCTGCACCCCTGAAGCATTTCCTTTTGGTTGTCGCTGTCCTGGTACCCTTGACTTCCCTTTTGGCTGTGCATATCTTGAGGCGCTGGAGAGTACATTCGATATCCTGTTAAAATATCAGCTTTCTGTGATGTAAAAAAAATTAAACAAAGATAAATCAGTTCAGAACTTTTGCCACCTTTAATGTGACCTATAAACTGTACAACTCAATTGAAAAACAAACTGAAATCTTTTAAGGTGGGGGTGGGGGAGTAAACATAAATTAAAATAGTGGGGTGTGCACACCCTCTTATAACTGGAGATGTAGCTATGTTCAGAATTAAGCAAGTACATTCAAAATCATGTTAAGTAGGAGTCAGTACACACCTGCCATCATTTAAAGTGCCTCTATTGTCTGCTATTAAAGCGGTCATATTGGTGCTGTTCCGACTTGGTCGGAGCCGTACCGATTTCTATAGTAGTACATGTGCTACTTTTGTTGCGATTTGCATAGACATCTGTGTCAGATGTCTTGCAAATCGCAATGAAATCGGCAGGTCACCCGATTATTAAATCGTGCCACTTCACTGTAAGTCACACGATTTCAAAATCTGCTTTGCTGTGCCCGGGGGGGTGGGGGGCAAGTCACATCCTACAGCAAATCCATGGTCCGCAAAGAGCTTCCAAAGCATCTCCTTGTTAAAAGGTATCAGTCAGGAGAAGGGTACAAAATAATTTTCAAGACGATAGATATACCATGGAACACAGTGAAGACAGTCATCATCAAGTGGAGAAAATATGGCGCAACGGTGACATTATCAAGAACTGTGCATCCCTCCTAAACTGATTTAAAATACGAGAAGAAAACTGGTCTGGGAAGCTGCCAAGAGGCCTACAGCAAAATTTAAAGGAGCTGTAGGAATATCTGGCAAGTACTGGCTGTGTGGTACATGTAACAACAATCTCCCGTATTCTTCATATGTCTTGGCTATGGGGTAGAGTGGCAAGACAGAAGCCTTTACTTAAAAGAAAAACATCCAAGCCTGGCTAAATTTTGCAAAAAAAATCTGAAATCTCCCAAAAGCATGTGGGAAAATGTGTTATGGTTTGATGAAACCAAGGTTGAACTTTTTTGTCATAATTATAAAAGATATGTTAAAAAAACACTGCACATCACCAAAAGAACACCATACCCACAGTGAAGCATGGTGGTGGCAGCATCATGCTTTGGGGCTGTTTTTTTTCTTCAGCTGGAACTGGGGCCTTAGTCAAGGTAAAGGAAATTATGAAACGTTCCAAATACCAGTCAATATTGGCACAAAACCTTCAGGCTTCTGCTAGAAAGCTGAACGTGAGTAACTTCATCTTTTAGCATGACAACGACCCAAAGCATACACCCAAATCATCAAAGCAATGGCTTCACCAGAAGAAGATTAATGTTTTGGAAAGGCCCAGACCTGAATCCAATTGAAAATCTGTGGGGTGATCTGATGAGGGCTGTGCACATGAGATGCCCACGCAATCTGACAGATTTTGAGTGTTTTTGCAAGGAAGAGTGGACAAATATTGCCAGGTCAAGATGTGCCATGCTGACAGACTCATACCCAAAAAGACTGAGTGCTGGAATAAAATCAAAAAAAGGTACTTCAACAATGTATTAGTTTAAGGGTGTGTACACTTATTCAACCATATTATTTTAGTTCTTTATTTTTACTTCCCTACACCTAAAAGATTTCAGTTTATTGTTCATCTGAGCTGTACAGTTTGTTACATTAAAAGTGGAGAAAGTTCTGTAATGATTTATCTTTGTCTCAGTTTTTGACATCACAGAAACCTGACATTTTAACAGGGGTGTGTAGACTTTTTATATCCACTGTACACTTGTCAGGTCTGTCTGATCTTCTTTAAAATAGTATTAAAGGACACGTTCACTTTTGAAACACGTTAAATGTTACACCCATTTTTCGAGGTCCACTCACATGACTGCGTCACTCATTCAGTTTCCTGTGAATTAATGCCTACAAGTGCTGTCACCCGTTGCGGCTAACAGCTTGTAGTTCTCAATGAACTACGAGGGTGCTACTGAGTGGTCTGGTAGTTCATTGATTCTTCCTCAGGTACGGGCATACAGCTATGATGATGAGAATCTGCAGGAGCCTGAGGGTGCATCTGTGATCTGTTGATCGCTGGCGCAAATCTCTGTAGGCTCTTTTAAAGAAAAAATAATAAAATGCACTTTTTTTTTTTTTTTTTAACTTCTAGAAGTACATTTTATCTTTTTTTCAAAAGGTGAACTTATCCTTTAAATCAGTACACAGAGAGCTACCTGCTGTTCTCAGGCCATCTTATATTTTGGTGATAGGACTAATTTAAAGCCAGTAGTGTCTTTGCTGTAGTATATGCAGGGATTAGGCTCCTGGTTTTCAGTCTTATTTAATTTTCACATTGTGAGTTAGGTTAGGGTTGTTTATACTAGAGTTATGCCTAGTTTATTAACCACTTCCCGACCGCCCTGTAGCAGAACTACTGCTACAGGGCGGCAGGGCTGCGCAAAATCACTCATATATACGTGATTTTGTATTTCCGGGTAGGAGGCACGCGCACCGCCTTATCCGCGCCGCCATTGGCGGCTACAGCTGTCAATCACCGGGTCCTGGCCAGACATTCCCCGCCGGCACCTGGTGATTGCCGAGGAACACTGACAGGGGAGAGGTCTGTATGTAAACCAATACAGATCTCTCCCCTGTCAGCATCAGCATGCTGCTTTCTATTGCTATGCATAGCAAAGCAATAGAAAGCAGCATGCTTACACAGTAAATCACACACACACACACACACACACACACTTAACTCTTTGATTGCTCCAGATATTAACCTCTTCCTGCCCATTGTCTTTAGTACAGTGTCAGTGCTTTTTGTTAGCACTGATCACTGTATTATTGTCATTGGGGATTCAGTGGCAGTCAGTTCCCTCCCAGTGTCAGAATGCCCGCCGCAGTCCCACTATAAGTTGCTGATCGCCACCATTACTAGTAACAAAATTAAATATTCCAGTGTGTGTGTATATAGATATATATCTATATATAGATATATATAGATATCACCATTTGTAAACGCTATAACTTTCACGCAAACCAATTAATTTACACGTATTGGAATTTTTGTAGCAGAATACATTTTTGCCTAACTTTTATGATGAAATTTTACTTTTTTTTTTTTTTTTTAATTTTTACTGGATATGTTTTATAGCAAAAAGTCAAAAATATTTATATATATTTTTTTTTTCAAAATGCAGTCTTTTTTTGTTTATAGCACACAAAAAAAAACCGCAGAGGCGATCAAATACCACCAGAAGAAAGCTCCATTTGTGGAGGGAAAAGGACATAAATTTCATTTAGGTGCAGCATTGCATGACTACGCAGTTGTCAGTTAAAGCAATGCAGCGCTGTATCGAAAAAAATGGCCTGGTCAGGAAGGGGGGTAAATCCTCTGGTGGACAAGTAGTTAAATATGGTTAAAAAAAGTAAGGGCGCCTTTTAAAAGGAAAGATTCCCTTTTGATGGTATTTTTTTTTTCCTCCCTTCAGGACAAGTCCAAAAAAAGGTAAAGTGATCTGTTGCAGTGCATTAGCACGCATCATGCATCCCAGGAGTCTTCAGGGGCATTTTCTTTTCTTTCATATGTGGGAGGAGAGGAGGGGCTTTCTCTGCTAAGCACACCCTCCTACCTTCATTCCTGAGCTAAGGGCAAATGGATTCCAGGAAGTAAAAGCTACATGAATCATTTGTCCTATCTTAACCCCTTGACGCTGACGTAACACAAATATGCGGCCTCACGGACCTGGGCTTTTTTCCGTGGGGCCGCATATTTGCGTACCTGTCTTTGTGTTGGGAGCGCGCCCCTCAGCGCGCTCCCAGCACCGAGACCGCGGTGTCACTGAGAGCACCGGGTCCCGTTTTAACGATCGGGACCCGGGACTCCCGGTCCCGGGTCACATGATCGCTGTGATAGCCTCTGATTGGCTATCACAGTGATCAGTCACTGTGCAGCCCGGCCCCCTTGTTTTTTTTTCTCTCTCTCTCTCTATGAATGGAGAAGAGAGATACATTGTATCTCTCGAACTCCTGTCAGAGAGAAGAAAAAAAAAGTTTGTAAAAAAAAAAAAGATAAATAAATATTAAAAAAATAAAAGAAAAAATAAAAAAAAATACCTAGATCAAGGTTTGATCTAGTTCAGTGCCAGGGTTAGTGTTTAGGTCAGGGTCAAAGGTCAAGGTCAGGATTTAAAAAAAAATTGGTATCCGTGTCAGTTAGTGTTAATGTCAGTGTCAGTTAGTGTTAGTGTGTTTTAGGTAAAAAAAAAA